AAGACGGAACGCCGACAAGCTACAGGCACCTAGCGAACATATCAAGAAAAATCGTGAGGGAAGCTGCAACCGCATCATCAGCTATCCATGACTTCGACATTGAAGATGATGTCGACAAGGAGTTCAGAAAACTCGACGATAGCGTTGAAGAGGAGCACAAAGCTGAGGTTTACGAACAAGACAGCAATGGCGGTTCCCCTGAATTAGACGAAATTCGCTTATCTGCATTAGCTAAGAAATTGCAGGAAAGAACAAGATTCTGAATTGGGCCAGGAAGAGGTTTACATCTCCAGACGTAACTTTCGCCAATTCCGAAGATTAGGATGATATCTCAACGCCTTTTACGCATTTTTTCAAGCACTTTCCCAATTCCATGCTTGATGAATTAATGGAGAAGACCAAGATATAATCAGTACCAAGTGATAAATGAATCGACGCGTCAGCTCACGAAACCGAGAAGATTCTCGGAGCACATATCTTTATAGGAGCCGTTCAATACTAAATTACGAATGTAATGGTCATCAGCCACAAGAAATCAATTTTTCGACAAACTTAACCTTTTCCGCATCCGTTTCTTGTCCCTGCGCACCATATTATTTGTGTCAATGTCAATGCCGACCACGACCAGCGAATTGAACTATGGATTCGTCCCTGAATTCATCGTTTAAAATCGCTGCGAGCAACTGAAATCAGAAAACTCTGCATAAAAATGTCAATCCTTTCTACAGGGCAGCTTCTCATCAAGCAATTATGAAAGGCAGACCGAACACGTGGGGAGTCAAGGTATTCATGCTCTGCGGTCTTCAGGCATAACTTACCGCTCGGCTGTTATATGTATATTAGCTGGCATACCCGGCTCGTCCATCAAAACACTATAATAAAGGTCCCTTCCCCACCCGTGCAGAATCTTTCCCTCTCCATGCATCCCTATCTCCGTTTTCTCAGCATGCTCACCTACCCCAGTACCAAATCCCCTCTAAGTTAACCTTTGCAAAAAAAATCGATAAAATCGGTAGAAGTAGTGGATAATTTCAA